CAATCGAGCCATCAGAATGAGTCTTGATTTTGTAAACCCATTTGCAGCCAATCGCAGTTTTGCCAGGAGGAAGGTCAACAAGATCCCAAGTATGAGTTTTGTCCAAAGCTTGAAGTTCATCAGTCATAGCTTGCTGCCAAAGGGGATTAGTACAAGCCTCATGATAGGAGGTAGGTTCATAAGTAGAGAAGGCAGCAGATCCAACAATATAATCACGAAGGTGGATAGGAGGTTGAGTTACCCGGTGTGGTCGACTCGTAGGAGGATCGGTGGGAGGAAGAACCAGTGGAGAAGGAGGTGGTGCAGGGAGAGGTGGACCTTCAGGGAGAGCAGTCTGGTTGGGAGCAGGAGTGAGCAAGGGCGTCTCAATGACGGAGGGACCTGTATCAAAATCATCAGAGAAGAGATCGATGGAAGGATTAGTAAACAGTACATTAGTGGAAAGTACAGGTAAGTGAAAGGATGATAGGGAGGAAAACATTTGGTGCTCCCAAAAAACTACATGGCGGGAGATACGAAGACGTTTAGAGAGAGGGTCCCAACAGCGAAAACCTTTATGTTCAATTCCATACCCAAGAAAGCAACAAAGACGAGAACGCGGTTTAAGCTTGGTGCGTTCATGAGATTGAAGGAGAACAAAGCAGGCAGAGCCAAAAACCCGAAGATTAGCATAGGGAGGGGGAGTGCCATGCAGACGTTCAAAGGGAGTTTGATTATGGATGACGGGGAAGGAGCACAATTGATAGTGTAGACAGCAGTGAGGGCAGCTTCCCCCCAAAAGTTTTCAGGGCAGGAAGAAGAGAGAAGGAGAGCGCGAGTAGTGTCAAGAATATGCCTATGTTTCCGTTCAGCACGGCCATTTTGCTGGGACGTGCCAGCACAGGAACGATGAGGCAGTGTACCATGACTCTGAAGAAAAGAAAGGAAATCTGAATCCCGATATTCCATAGCATTGTCGGAGCGAAAAAGTTTGATGGTTTTGGAAAATTGGGTGTGGATCATTTGGGCAAATCGATAATAAAGGGTTTTGAGGTCAGACCGAGTTTTCATGAGAAAAATCCAAGTAAACCGTGAAAAATCATCAATGAAAACAACAAAATAACGAGATCCCCCCATAGTAGTGGTAGGGGAAGGGCCCCAAATATCCGAATGTATAAGATCAAAAAGTGCACAGGAAACAGAAGTACTTTTATTGAATGATAAAGCAGGTTGTTTGGCAATTTGACAGGGTATACAATCGAAAGTATCTGGAATTACATGACCCAATTATCCACTAGAAACCAAAGACTTTAAGCGAGTAATAGAAATATGTCCTAAGCGACAATGCCAAAGATGAAAAGGAGATAATGAGGAAGCAGATGCAGGAGCAGCGATCTGAGGAGAGGCAGGAACATGAAGGTGAATGAGCTCATAGAGACGTCCGTGCTTACGGCCGATCCCAATAGTCTGCCTCGTCTGAGGGTCCTGCACCAAACAATGAGTAGCAGAAAAGGTGACAGTTAAACCAAGTTCACATAATTGACCAATAGAGATAAGGTTTAAAGTGAGAGCAGGGATATGATAAACTTGAGGTAAAGTTAAGGAAGATGTGGAAATAGTACCAAGATGACGGACAGTCATGAGAGAACCATCAGCAGTTTGAATTGATGGAATATGAGGAGATGAAGAGATGGAAGAAAATATAGTTGAACTAGAGGTCATATGATTACAACAGGTAGAATCAAAATATCAAGAAGAGTTACCTGGAATTACAGACAAAGCAGTAGGAGGAGGTGTACCAGAAGGGGAGAGAAGGTGTTTGAACATGGCCTCGACATCCGTTGGAGAAAAGAGAGGGGTAGACAGAGCCGGAGACTCAGAAAAACCCTCAGCGGCAGCAGCAGCAGTGGCGGTGTGAGGAGACTGATTCCCAGAATGAGATTGATTCCTGGAACGATGAAAGCTCCCCTGAGAAGAACCACCGCGAGAAGAGTGGCTGTTGGAGGATGAGCGGGATGGATGGCGAAAACAATCCTGTTGTAGATGACCAGGACTAAGTTTGTTGCAATATCGGCAGGTTCTGACCAGGCAATTGACCAGGAGATGTGTGGAAGGAAGGCCCCGATTCTGACAGTAGAGGCAGGCAGTGGTCCGCTAGGTGAATGATGGCTGGTACGGGGGAGTGGCAAGAACAGAGTCCACATGATGAGTTTGGAGAGTACCAAGACGAGTCTCTTCTGATAGCAACTCAGAAATAGCTTGTTCCAGAGTGGGCAAGGGATGGCGATGAAGAAGAGAGGCACGTACGAGCTCAAAAGATAAAGTGAGAGCCATGAGAAAGTGCACCAACCTTTGCTGATTACGATAAGCAGTAAATAAAACAGCATCTTCTCGGTGAGGCCAAGTCGGTTAGGAAAGAGCAAGCTGGTCCCAAACGGAGTACATTTGAGAAAGGAAGTCATTGATGGACTGACTAGATTCTTGGCGCATCCGATGAAGTTGGCTCTGAAGTTGATATTGATGAGCAAGACCAGTAGTCTGGTATCGTTCTTTCAAAAAATCCCAGATGTCTTTTGCAGGAGTAGTGACAGAGTCAAGCTGAAAGCGACCAAACTGAAGACTGATAGAGGTAACAGAAGTATTTCGAAACCAGGTAATGATTTGGTAATTCTTACTGTCACATTCCTCAAGGCGATCTTCATATGTAGGAGGAGCAGGAGAAACAGTGGTTTCAGCAGTGTCTTTGACCGGTTGGGTCATGTCCCCGGTGATAATTCGCCAGAGCTTCTTTCCTTTGAGGAAGGAAGACATGGCTTGGGCCCATAGAACATAGTTGGAACCATCCAAAATAACGGAAATGGGATGGGAGGCATCAGGACGATCCATAATAATAGCGGAGTAGGGCTAAATAGATAGGGATAGACCTGTAGGAGCAAAATTAGGTAAAACAGAGTGTACCAGTGAGTCCGAAAGGTTGAAAATAGCTAGGAAAGGTGGGCTGTGTAGAGATGATGTCAGCAGGGTGGAAAATGATGTCGGCGGCGCACGTTAGCAGGGAGGGCGTGCGGCGCACGGTAGCAGAGGGGGCTGGCGGCGTATGGTAGCAGAATGGCGCACGCGGGTGCACAATAGCGGAACGGCGCACGCGGGTGCACGGTAGCAGGCGCGGCGCACGACAGGGCAGGGTGGAAGGCGCATGGCAGCGCGTGTGAGCGTGGCAACGGAAGCAGAGACGCGCCGAGCAAAGGAGAGGCGCATGAGAGCGCGTGAGAGATTTTCTGGTGATGGGCTTGGTGCCGTTGGAATCGTAAGGAGATTCTGAGCTGTTTGGTGTAGTCCACTGTGTACGGAACTAAGCACCAAAATTGAGGGATGCCAGAATTGTATTTCTGTGCTCTGATACCATGAAAGATTGGTAAGGAGGGAGAGAACAGAGCGAGACTGAATTGAAGAATTGGTGTTATTATATTATATTTCAATACATACAAGAGAGTGAGCTCCCACTCTTTATAGAGAGGAGAAGGAGACAAATGGAATCGGATGCATAGGCTAATTACATTGAGATATGCTAAAGTTAAAGTGAAAGTGTGGCCTTTACAGCTACAAGGCCCTTTACAGCTATACATGTTAGTGGGGTGTATAGTGGGATGTATATTATATGTTAACAAATGCCAGCCCAATCCAATCCATGTAAGCTTTAATCATAAAACCCATATATATAATCATAATCTGTACAAGCAGTATAATCAACAAAAACTCTATAAAGGGACTGACTATGCTTCCGAATAGCAGCATAGACTTTGTAGCCTCTTCTGAGAAGGCGTTGGACCAGGGTTGAGCGAAATCGGACTGAGGCATCCATTACATAGACCATTTTGGAGTTGTGCTGCTCAGATGCTGGTGCCTGACTTTTAGAGAGAGACAGAGAGGAGAGAAAGAATTGGGAGTTTGGACAGAGAGAAACAGCGTGGTGAGCTGGGTTCTCTCTTTCTCTATCTCTGTCACCATCGCGATTCATTACCCACCATCGCGATTCATTCTAGCCAAGGGTTTTCAGATCTTCGTCGGCGGCGAAGATGGGCGGCACGAGTTGCAGCGAGGAGAGGCAACCTGGGGTGAGGTGGTAGGCGGAGGAATGGCGGCGAGGGTGTGAAGTCTGAGATCAACTGGGTTCTTCACAGATCCGATCTGAGGGCGGCGACGTCGACGTCGACGAGCACTGGCAGAGATGAAGGAAAAGAAGAAAGAAGAGGAAGAAGAAGAGAGGCGGTGGCTGTGGCGGTGCCCGTGCCGGTGGTTATATTGGTGGCTAGTGTGGTGCGTGAATGACCGAGATTTTGGGTTAGGTCCAAGGGTAATTTAGCCAAGTGATACAATTGGAATTAAAAAATGATAATAAATGGTGTGCACTTGGAGAGCTTGCGATGAGTAAATAAAATTACCCTTTTCATAATGGCATGGCACCCCCAAACACCCACCTGACTTGCTTTTCCAAGCTAGCAAAAAGTTAATTTTTTATTTTTTTAATTAAAAAAATTAGTTTTTCTTACCCAAGTCATTATCTAAAAAATTATTTTTTTTGGTTAAAAAAATTTACCAACTTTTCAAAACACAAACATCCCACAATTTCACCTCTCTATTTCTCGATTTTGTCGTATGAAGCCACGCATTACCAAATTCTATCGAAAATAAAATTACCCAAAAATCTGATGACAACATCATCAAAAATTTCCTTTTAGACCATCTTCAACGGTTTATCAATTCTCTCATTAAGAAAAAATTATTTTTTTCTGTTCCATGAGAAAAAAAATTATTCCTCGTAAAAAATAAAAAGATTAGATCATCAAAGGAAACTCATAATAAATCCATAAGTTTAAAAGAGGCCGGTGTAATAATCTACGGTGTAAATTGAAAAAAAATCCAATCCCCATTTTTTTTTGTAGGTGCTGTTTGGAGCCACGTATTTTTATTCGTAATACTAATGTGCCATAACATTGTTCAATTTTCCTTGAATGGTGCTAGACTTTTGGATGTTGTTATTTTTCCAGCGAAGACTTGGAAAATGGTGTGCAGAAAACAAAGAAGATTGATAACATAAGTCAAAAGTCAACATGTATGTGGAGGGCGCGTAGTGTTCAGCATATGTGTGTCAAATACAAAAAGCTTGATAAGTCTGATTTAGGAAACCTTTATTATCGTCTTTGTCTGATTTTTGTTGCTGCGATAGTTTTTAATTTGAGAATCTGAGCTTTTACTATTACGGGACAAGGAGATGGAATGGAATTGCTCATTTTGGGAATCCTAGAATAAGGGAGGCAAGGGAGGATAACAAATTCTCTCTCTTCGTGGGTGGTGGTGGAGTTGTCACAGGAGCGAGGGGTGATGGGTCTGCGACGGTGGCTGGAAAGGGGATTAGGGTGGCGGCTGCTGGGGACAGCAAGAGACAGTGAGCAGGTATCGAAGGCTGGTGGTGTGTATTAAAAAAAATAAAGGTTTTTACAATTTTGTATAAAAAAAATAATTTGATTAAGGGTCAAAAATATAATTAAAAGAATTACCGAGATGATGTATACTAATGAATCAATGGTGTGCAAATAAAATTTCTCTTATTTTATTATCTACTACGATTAAAAACTTGAAGATTTGATTTGATTTAAAAACATTAAAAAAACAAAAACAAAAACAGACCTGTACCCTCATTATGGGATTAGCGCGAAGCACACCCTCAATAGTTACGTGTAACATTGATTTTTCTGTGCATTTTTTCATTGTATTTTTATTGACGGAGCAGTGAATTTGTTTGCGTTTTAAGTTTGTTTCCAACAAATTAATGCCAGCTTGGAACTACCTTTGGGATTATGCATCATGTGGTGGTTTTAATGATTAAGTGGAGATGCTGCTATCTCAAATTAGTATTTTCCTCCTATTCTAGATCATTTATCAGGATTTTGAGGAGTCAGAACTATCAAATAATTTAGTTTTTACTAAAATGTTAGTTAGATTTGGCGATCAATGAAATCAACTTTAAATGATGCAGGTGCTCGGAGGACTTACAAATCCGTAGAATTTGGAAGACTACCCGCTTAAATATGAAGGCTTATGCAACTGTATGTATTTAAATCTAGAAGATTACTTGCTCAAATGTGAAGGCTTATTTTGCACGTCTGTTTGTCTGCGTGTGCATGTGTGCGATGGATTAATGTACGTTATAACAATGTAATTGGATTTTTTTTTTTTCTTGGGTGCAGTCCTCAACAGTTGAAAACAATTTCAAGTGGTTGTTTTATTTATTTTTTTTTAAATGAAATAAAATTTACTAGCTAAAAATTTGATTTTATTAGCCCACGTCCAGTTTGTTGGTCTCCCAACTATGACATGATTACCTGGCCTGTACATCCATGACTAGTTTTGAAATTCACAGTTTGAGTACCCTGCAGAGATGCATTTGTTGTTTGATAATTCAACAATGATTCATATCAATAAAAAAAAAAAGGACCACTAATAGTGCTCTCAAAAACAAGGCTCCGTTTGGAAATGTCAAAAAAAATAAAATAAATAAGGCCCCGCCCATTGCCTCATCATTAGTGGTGCTATTAAAGCACCACTTTTATTGCTCTCAACCATTTTTTTTGATAATTTGTCAATTTTGTGTTTTTTGTTTAGATGAAATAGGTAACAAGTTTTTGTACACAAATGTTTTAAAAACAAATGATAAAAAAAAGCAAATAACAATGTTTGGTGAATTGCTGGTTGCAGGATGTCTGTGTTGGTGATGTCTGGAGGTGGGAGAGGGTGAGTGATTGTTTTGAAAATAAAAGATACTTCCTTTTTTCATTGCTGAAAATTTTGATATCAATTCAACTTTTTTTTAGAACTCTGAAGTTTTAAAAAGGAATGAATACAAAAACAAGCAAACATAGAAGTATTAACCAACAAATTCTTGCACATTTTATTTTTGGGATACTTTTTTGTGTTGGAAAATAATGATTTTTTGGTAACCTTGATTAAAGTGAGACTCAACCACCGGTTGAGGTGGGTCTGAGCGGTTTTATATTATCTTAAGTGAGGAAATTACAATATAAAAATGATGGGCCAAAACCATTGAGTTGTGAATGAGAATTGTCTCATAAAGTGGGTATCAATAAAAGTTGGGCTTAGATTTGGAGTTAATCTTAGTTTGGATTGGGCCTAGGCTTAGGCTTAAGCTTGGGCTTGGGCTTGTGGTGGGTTTGGTCTTGGACTTAGATTATAGACTTAATTTTGAGCTTGGGCTAAATTATGTTGTGTTAGGTTTAGTTTGTGCAAGTGTTTGAGAATTGGGCTTGGATCGGATTGTAACCTAATATTAGTATTCATTTTGTGACTCATCTAATTGGTTTATTCAAATATTATTATACACGTATTTATTTGCATATATTAAGCACATGAGAAATGTAAGATATTGTAACTCATATTTTGATGATGGAGTTGATGACCATATTAGTGGCTATAAATTTTCAACTTTTGTAACTCTAATCTTAATGGCTAGAGTTGATGGTCTTGGTTAACGAACATTTGATGGCCCTATTGATGTATAGTTTTCATGGCTAGGGATTCCCCTATTTGTATAAATAGAGGCCGTTTCCCTCCAACTTGGTAGAATAATTTTTTGGAGATGGAAAATTGAGATGATATTTTGAGATAAAAAGTTGGAAATAGTTTTTTACACTAATTTTTTTTTTTTCCTATCTTCTTTTGCTAACCCCTTCTTTGATTCTTGTTAGAGAGAGTACATCTATTGTCAAGTTTGCCAAAACTATTTAGAAGGTGCTTCTGTGTTAGCTGGTTTCGACCGTCGTATCCTGAGAGACAGACACCGATATACCTCCAGCATCCATTAAGAGGCGGTGAATCTGTTTTAAAGAAACTGTCTAGTGCAGGCTTCGATTTACTTCTTTTCTTATAATTTGTTCTTAAGTTTTTTAATATTTAGTTTACAAAAATAAGTTCTAATATTTAGTAATCCATATTAATAATTTGTTCTATTAGTAATGTAATCTAATTCAATTATGTATTTAGTTGTGCCATTTATTATGTATTTTATCCTTCAATAAAAAAATTATTTTGTTATTTTTATTTAATTTATTTTATATATTTTTCTTGTATTATTATGAAAAAATACCAACATTTTGTGTGCGTAATATTGCTACAAGATGATCCAAGCATCTGAACAGAGCCTACATGCTACACCAATTCACACTCTTGGGTTCTGTTCTGTGGCTCTGTGAGAACAAAATCAAAATGGAGTGATGAAGAAATCCTCAAGGCTGGTTCAAGCTCAGTGTGGTTTGCCAAATTAGCAAAACACCAAATTAAAATGAAAGGTGCTTATAATACAAGATATTTCATTAAATTAAGTCATTTTTGTGTGAAAAATATATTCACAGGTAGTTTTCTTCTTCTATCTTCCCTCCAACAGTGTAACCGTGACACTGACAATGTTGTCTGAACCTGGTTCACGTGTGCTTGTTGAAGAACCTTTCTCAGGCAGGACATTTCTTTCAATGAAAAAACCAGGCTGTTTAGGCTGAGGCAATCCACCCTCACCGCCTAACATTAAAACCACAGTCGACATGTTTGGTCTGTCCTCTGGATATTGTTGCACACATAACAAACCCACATGAATTGCTCGTACAAGTTCAGACTGATTTTCCAAGTCTTCCACTGATGGATCAACCAGTTCCCGAGACCTGCCTTCTCTACAAAGTTTCCAGGCCTGAGAAATCGAAACCGTCTTCAGAAGCAGTTTTAAATTCTCAACACGATTGAAATAGATTGCTCAAAGCTTACATGTCCAAGAAGGTTCAGGTGGTGTCCTGGGTGAGAGAATCCTCTGTTTCTCTTCCCACTAACTATTTCTAGGACCAAGACGCCAAAACTATATACATCAGATTTTACTGAGAATATCCCATCAATTGTATACTCCGGAGACATATAACCACTGATTGAATTATTGAAAAAGAAGAAGAAAAAAAAAATATTACTGACTGAATAGGAGGGCATTTTAGAGAACATGACAAGAAAGAAATACTTACTATGTTCCAACCACTCTGCTTGTGTTACCTTCGCTTTCATTTCCTCCAAAATGTCTCGCCATGCCGAAGTCTGATATTTTTGGGTTCATTTCGTTATCTAGTAAAATATTACTAGCTTTTAAATCTCTATGTATAATTCTCAGCCTGGAATCTTGATGAAGATAAAGAAGTCCCCTAGCAATTCCATTGATAATGTTGAGGCGTTTAGGCCTATCTAGTAACAAGCGTTGTGTTATATCTGAAAATGGAAATAAAAAGTTATTGGTCCCTTCACTTGACATTGGTCCCAACAAATTATGATGAAACCATGTATGAAAAGTGTAACTAGTTTTTTGTGCTGAAAATGACAAGGTTTGAAGAGAACCGAACCAAAAATGAACAAGTCTAAGCTTTTGTTAGGCATGTATTCATAGATCAACATCTTCTCTTCTCCTCGAAAGCAGTAGCCGAGAAGCTTCACAAGATTCCGGTGTTGGAGTCTAGCAATATATATGACTTCATTTTTGAACTCATCAACCCCTTGCTTGGAATTCTTCGAGAGTGTCTTCACAGCTATTTCTTGCCCGTCTTCCAACACGCCCTGAAGACAATTGTCATTTCTGATAGTAGTTAGTAGATACCACAGGTATAGGCCATCAACTACTATCCAAGAAACTGCATAGCTAGAAATGTGTCTAATTGTTACCTTAAAAACTGGTCCAAAACCGCCCTCTCCAAGTTTATTGTTAATTGAGAAGTTATCGGTAGCATGAGTTATGGTAGCAAAGTCAAACTGCTGCAACTCTAGATCTTGCTTTTGGCTTTCATTGGTGCAACCTTCATTGAAACTACGCCTCATGCTAACTGAAAAGTTGGGATGTGCATTTTATTAAACCTAATATGCATTGATTTTGCTGGCATTTTAGGTTCTAATGACTCATTTGACTTACCTTCACTAATTTGATGCTGCTGCTGCTTCTTTTTCCAGAGGTAAACTGTCAGGCTAAGACCTGTCAGAAACACTCCTGCTAATAATGCCAAGCTGATTGCTATGGTCCTCCGCCTAAGCTTTTTGGTGCCAATTCGACCTATATGTAAACTATTAAAAGCAGGAAATATATGACTAATTGTATTTTGGGGGAATATTGAGGCCTGAGAAATGTGAATGAATTATCATCACAAAGGTAGCGTCAAGAAGGCAGAGACTTCAGATTTTTACAAGGTTAAAACTCTCTGGAAACTTCATCGAACTCTGCACTGTTAGGCCGTGACTCAAATAAATAGTGGTTTGTTACTGAATCTTATACTATCAGTTTTTAAATCATATTTTTTGTATAAATTGCATAATACAGATGATGCAAGTTAGAACCAGGGTCAAATATGATATTTCACATAATGCAAGTTGCTTTCTTTTTTATTTAACTTTTTCGTAAAGGAAAACTCAATTTAAAAAAATAAAAGAAAGAAAGAAAGAAAAAACAATAAAAACACAAATTCTTCTAGAAAAATGCACAAAATGCAGTGACAGCAGCACTACAATGCGCACTTTCTATGAAAAAATTTCCATGTTTGCATCAATTTTAATTGCCTTGGAACAGATATTCCATACCTAATTCTGAAGCAGCTACCTTTACATAAACATCTTGCCCATTTGTGCTATACGTTCTTATATCAATCAAGTCACCAAACCATAAGAAGCATCCACTCCCTCCTCCCCTGATATCCATATTTGCATAAGCTGTGCAACTGCAATTCTTCAAGCATCCAACCCGACATTCATCAAGTGTCATGCTCTCATTAAACCAACAATACCGCGTATCTGGCAATTTAACATTGGAATATTGAAGAAAACCATCTGAAACCCCACAACCCAACTGAGTCCTGCGAACGCACCCATTAGACCAGTCTGCCACATCCCATTCTTGTGGGTATTTGGGCTCAAATCCTTGCAAGCACTGGCACATGGTGGAACTGTCAATATTACAACTTCCAAATGCACCGCACAATGCATAAAAATCACAGTTGTCTGTCTGTGGAGTTGTGTACGCAATCCAGCCATGAGTTCGATTGATCCACACAAACCGCTGGATGACCCCATTTGGATTCAACACTAGCCTTGTAACAACCGAGCTGTTTATCTGCTCATATCGGTAATAAATCTCCACCTGGTTAAACACAAACTCGAATGTAAAAATTGCGTTCTGCTTCAAATTCGGCACTCCACTGAACCGAAGACCATTCCACGGTCCAAACCTCATTTTTTCCACTGCACCATTCTTTATGATAAATTGTGGGTATCCACTCGGATCAAGCCCATATGTAAAATCACCTCGCGCTGGATCATCACCGGTCTTCCAGGATGATAGGTACCAGTCCAGCCCAGTCATCATGTTCATCCCAAACTTCATGCCCGGTAAAAGTGTATCAGATGGATAATCAAAACTCTGCCACAAAAAGCTCTCCGTATTATTTCCATTCCCGTCGTTGACAACAAGATTTCCAGACTCCAAAAGTTGTGCCGGTGGACTGCTTGTAAATCTTGATGAATTTGAAGATCAAACGACCCCCTCTGTGGGATTTAAAAGGACGAGAATTCCTTGGTCGGTTAGTTTCAGAAGACCAGATGTGTCATTGAGTGGGAAATCTCTGTTGGCAACCCATACCACAGTCCCAGTAGCTGTGTCCTTGTACCATATTCCCAAGTATCTGTTTCTGGACCTACCACTGCCCGGGCTGAAAAATCCGAGTTCAAAGCTTCCTCCGGCTGAAACTAAAGTCTCCCCATCTCTAATGGTTTGATTGGCACCGATTGTATCTACTGCAGCACAGATTGTTAAGATGGAAAATATGAAAAGCCAGAAAAGAAGTAAAGTAAGGACTCCCATCAGTATTCTCTGGCTTCTCTTCATAGCATATGCTTCTATATTTCAAGTAGGAAAACAAAACTAGTCATTTTTTCACAGAATAAATCACAAAACAGAGACAAGCACAGAACAGTTACATGGAGTTTTCTTGTAAGCTGCTTGGTATGTGTGTTTCTGGAGGTCCATTGAATTGGTAAACCATACAGTGGAATTATTTGGTGATAATTGACCAATTTCTTTAATATAGTCTTCTCTTTTAATTAATTCAATTTAGTTGAGCACTTGCTAAGGTCTAATTGGTATGATGAACAGAATGACGTCTATGACAGTATTAATTATTTGTAGAAAAAAAATGTTTTCAAACAGCATGACAAGACTAGTTTGAACTTGAATACCATTTGCACCAAAAATTAGTAATTAATGTCTTTTTCCATCATCCAGGGAGTGAAAAATGAGAAGAAAAAAAAGGGGAAAATATGGCTCTAACTCTGTAAAAGTCAACCGAAGAAAGCTGAGGAGAGATTACAAAAATAAAAATAAAAAAGGATTACTAAATACTGAAAATATCACATGAAAAAGAAGCAAAAAAAAGGTCCAAGTAAGGTGAACCATTTTAATCCTTAACAATCTAAATATATATTTTGTTAATATAACTATATTCTAATAAGTTGAATAAAATTCTGATTTTTGCTTCTGTGCTCATGGACTCCGCTTGGAAAGCTAGGGAAGTGAATCCTCACCCAAAACAAGTTTGACCACAATCATAGAAGACTTTTGACATTATGTCAATCCCTTCTCATGGTCTGTATTTTAGAATACTGTCATCATTCTGGGCAAGCTTATTTTCAAGTTTTTTTTTTTATCCATGTTGACATCCTAAGGCTCCACAATATTTATTACAGCTTTTATGTGGGTCGAGGAGTTTTTGCTTGAGCATACTGTGAAGTGAAGTCCCACAATGTCTGGGTATGAAATTAATATGATGCACTATATAAGCGTGAGAACACCCTTACCTCAATAACTAACTTTTGGGGTTACATAAGACCGTGTAACAGATACCACATTGCCAGGTACTTAAAAGGAGTTGTTGTGGCTGGGGAATGAAGGCTTCAACATTTCTTGCTCATACTGCAAATGTTGAACCTGTGAAGACTCTAGGATACCACCATTATTGTCAGACCTGCTGTTTTTGAAGTTAGATTTTGTTTTGAAAGAGACTCCTAGTCCTGGATAATTGTGGCTGCAGGCACTTACCCTTTGGTTGCCCGTTTGATCTGAATTTCATCCCTTCCATAGTTGCTTGAGGTTGCTTCTAGGTAGTGCAGTCTGGTTAGCTAAAATACTGTTTCTTTTTGTGCTTTCTTGCATTCAGTGTTGCCCCGGCCACGAAAAGTTTAAAAAAAAAAAGAGCCCATAAATAGCAAAAATGAATTTAATTCAATTAACACCCGAATTTAATTCAAAAAAGTGCCCATAAACAATAAAATAATGTGTATATATATAAATACATTATCGAGGATCTATTATTGTAATGGTGTAATCATTGACTGAACTAGGTGCAGTCTTGCTCGATGAACTAACTGCTTCAGGTAGATTCCTTTCAGTAAAAAAGCCAGGCTGTTTGGGCAAGGGCAATGCATCCTCACTTCCCAACATCAAAACCACCGATGACATAGTAGGCCTATCTTTCGGATGTTGTTGCACACATAATAGACCCACATGGATTGATTGCAACGCTTCAGATAGACAGCACTTGTCCCTTGCAGCCTCATCAATCAGTTCCATTGACCTGTCTTCTTTATATAGTCTCCACGCCTGAACAGATTCAAAATGGCATTATCACTACTAGTTTGAAGTTGAACACATATAAGATGATATTTTCCAGACTATATACTCACATGTCCAAGGAGGTTGAGGTGGTGATCAGGATGAAAGAAACCTCTGTTTCTCTTTCCACTCACAATCTCCAACACCAGAACACCAAAACTAAAAACGTCTGATTTTATAGAGAAAAGCCCATTCACCACGTATTCTGGAGACATGTAGCCACTACAGCGAAGCATTCAATAAGGAAACTGAGTATCAATGAATAACAAGTAAATGATTGTATAGAGCACGTGAAGAGATTCTTACTATGTTCCAACCACTTTCTTCGTATTTCCTTCTATCTCATTTCCTCCAAAAATTCTAGCCATGCCAAAATCTGATATTTTTGGGTTCATTTCAATATCTAGCAAAATATTGCTAGCTTTGAGGTCTCTATGAATGATTCTCAATCTGGAATCTTGATGGAGATAAAGAAGCCCACGGGCAATTCCAATAATAATGTGGAAGCGCATGGGCCAGTCCAGTAAGGTTTTCCTGCTTTCATCTGCCCAGATTTTCATCCAGGTGAGTTCATACGCCTAATTGAATTTAACAAGAAAAAAAATACATAATAGAAAATCATAAATTTCTCGGAAGACCAAGTTCATGCAACCGCATATGTAGCAATAGAACCATATAATTTTCAGTCCCATCTTCAATAATTCAACCGTTAAATGGAACCAAAAGAATTTAAACAAAATTATTGCTAGCTGCCACAGTTTGTTTATTTCTCTGCATACATGTTTGGCCACTTGACCTTGGTCCAAGATTAGACTAGTTGCACTATAATTACTACAGTTTTGAGAGAGCCAAACCAAAGATAAAGAAGTCCAGGCTTTTGTTAGGCATGAATTCGTAGATTAACATCTTTTCTTCTTCTTGAATGCAGCATCCTAGAAGCTTCACGAGATTTCGGTGCTGAAGTTTAGCAATACAGCTGACTTCAGTTTTGAACTCATCGACTCCTTGTCTGGAATATTTTGAGAGCCGCTTAACAGCTATTTCTTGTCCGTCTTCCAGTCTACCCTGAAGATTACCATTTCGATGGCTAGAGTATACTTAAAACTTAAAAGAAGTCACTTCTTTTCTTTCCCTTCCTCATTGTTGTATCTTTTACTTTCTTATATTCCAATGGCTGACATTGTTCCAATAAGAGCGATCATGTATAACAATACACAAATTCATGCATACAAGAAGTTCACTCCACATATGTACTAAGCTTCATATATGAAAAGATATGTCACACCAAATGTGTTCTGTAAAAACTGAAAGGAAAATATTTTCTGTAATGCCAAATAAAACTGTTCTTGTATATTATGGATTACTTTTGTGTGGCCTTATATGGGGAGGGGTGAAGTAGGTTTACAGATTTACAACTTCTTCACAATATTTGGATAGGATAAAACCTTCATTCACCATCACTTTTTATGCAAACTTTTCAATCATTTTTTGTTAAGACAATTTCATAGATAAAATAGTTCTTTCAGATAAAAGTCTGGTTATTAAAATTATATATGGGTAAGACTAGAGACAGACCAAACCTTTGGCATTATTCACACAGAGTGGCTTCTCTAAGACTCAAGCCGGTCATTTTCATGCTTAGCAGACTAAGCTTTTACAATAGCACCAAACAATACCCCTAAGTTTTAGGTAGGTTCAAAGAAACTACATAAGAATGTATTGAGATTGTTACCTTGAAAACAGGTCCAAATCCACCCTCCAAATGACCGGCTAACATTTTGATCAAAACCGTGGGCCAAATTGCCACCCACGTGAGTCCACTGCCCCATGAAGCATATACTTTTACCATCATAATCAGTGATCAAGGAGCTATCGTGCAATTCTGGAACGAAATCGGCTTTGTTATTGACGTACGACGGTTTAGAATTCTTCATTGCCTTAATAGGAGCGAAAAAAAACCGAGTCCCAAACTCGTGCCACTCCGATCAGACACCGGCAACTTCAAAAAAAAACCTAACGTCGACGACGCAGAGTCACCAAGGCCGAACTCCGGCGACGGACAGCAAATCAAATGGTGGTTGCTGCTTGAGGTCCATGCTCTGAGCTCCGTGATGGTGACTCGTGGTGCAAGGGGTTAGTGACGCCGTTGCGTTTCTTTGATGATCTGCACGAAGATCTGGAAGAAGAAGGCCAGGCTAGTTCAACAGCGTCGCCAACACCTTCAAGCAAAACAATTCTAGAGCGAGAGAGAGATGCGCAGCGCGTAGGTGTGACCCAGTTGAGTGAAGGTATGTTTAGAGAATTTTAGCGGACTAGGTTGAGGTCCGGCGGGCGGCCAAGGCAAGGTTGCCGCCCGCCGGTGAAGCGAAAAATACTAAGTACTTAACCTTGCTCTGATACCATGTTAAAAATACTGTATTATTGATTGATATCTAGATGTGTTACAAGATTGATTAATTACAATTCCTATACAATCTATATATAGAAGAAAATGTGGTAGTAGGTGTAGTGGAGGTGATAGTGGGTTAGGTGAAGTGGAGTGTGTGGAGGTAGGTGAAGTGGAGTGTGTAGTGGAGTAGGTGAAGGTAAAGATGGGAAATTCTAACATACCGCAGCTTCCTTAGGTGCCAACTAGACCCCTCCAACTAGACCCCCCTGCCTTGGGTCTAGTGCGGCTTCCCCTCCAAGTTGTTTTTCTTCTCTCTTTACCCTTCTAGGGTTCGTGTGCTGATGTAGTAAGCACTTTCTACATTGTTTTTCTATTGTGTTGGGCTACCAGTGTGTTCAGTAGCGTTTATAGTACGCCCTTTTTTTTTTTCTTCCCAACCTTTGCTTGTGATTTTGCTAGTTGTCTGCTTTGCTGTGACTGTTATCATGACTGACTCCACCGTTTCTAGTAGGACTGATGCACCTCTTATTCTTGGTGAATCGATTGGGTTTGATTTTTCCCTCTCCCTCCAACTAGACCCCCCCCTGCCTTGGGTCTAGTGCGGCTTCCCCTCCAAGTTGTTTTTCTTCTCTCTTTACCCTTCTAGGGTTTGTGTGCTGATGTAGTAAGCACTTTCTACATTGTTTTTCTATTGTGTTGGGCTACCAGTGTGTTCAGTAGCGTTTATAGTACGCCCTTTTTTTTTTTCTTCCCAACCTTTGCTTGTGATTTTGCTAGTTGTCTGCTTTGCTGTGACTGTTATCATGACTGACTCCACCGTTTCTAGTAGGACTGATGCACCTCTTATTCTTGGTGAATCGATTGGGTTTGATTTTTCCCTCTCTCAACAAGCTCCGACTCATCGTATTACAAGTCTCTTGTTGAATGAGAAGAATTTTGCTGCATGGAGTCGTTCTCTCAAATTGTATTTATGGGGCAAAGGCAAGTCTCATTGGCTCCTTATGACTGAAACTCAACCTCCTGATGATGATTCTAAGCGTGGGCAGTGGGATATTGATAACTGTATTATCTTGGGCTGGATGTTTAGCTCTATGGAAGATCGGATTTATCACATGTTCATGTATTGTGACACAGTTCCTCGTCTGTGGAAGGCTCTTACTCAGATGTATGCTCAGGCTCACAATGATGCTCGCATCTTTGAGCTTTATCAAGACATCTCTCATGCTTCTCAAACAGCTTTGGAACTCTCGATTACAGAGTTCTTTGGGTATTTGTAGGCTCGGTGGGAGGAATTGGCTCAATATGAGCCCTTGAGTGACTTTCCAATGGAGGCTACATCTATTGTCTCTAAATGTTTGGATAGACAACATACTTACCAATTTCTTATGGGTTTAAAACTTGAATTTGAGTCTCTTCGAATTCAAATTTTGAACACCTCACCGATGTCATCTTTATATAAGGCCTTTGCTACTATTGATAGTGACGAGTGTCGCCGCCGTTTGGTTCAGTCTACTTCCCCTACCATCCAAGAGCCTTCTCCTGTTCCCGATTAGATGGCCCTTGCTGCTAGTTCTAGTTCTCGCAGTTCTTCTAGGAAGATTACTTGTCACCATTGTGGGGCAACTACCCATATTACGGCCTGTTATTTCAAGCTTCACCCTGAGTTGAAGCAACGGTTTGCTCGAAATCATGGTACCACTCGCATTGTGGCTATTGTGGAATTCGTACCTGTTACAGTGCCATCTAGTGTTCCTAGCCTACATCATCTTCAGACTCAGATTGGTCAGCTTCAAGCCCAGCTTGGCTCTTTCACTACTCATCAGTCGAGCCCATCCACAACTACCCTTGCCACAGGTACTTCTGCTGCTTTCAATGTTCAGTCTGTTCGCCCCACATGGGTTCTGGACTTAGGGGTTAATGATCATATGACTAGTGAGTTTTCTTTTCTTTCTTCTCCGGTCCCCCTTACTGTGGATCAAACTATCTGTCTTGCAAACGACTCTCTCTCTTCTGTGAGTCATAAGGGTGTTGTCTCTTTATCTCCTAATACTCATTTGTTCTTCATGTTCCTAAATTTGCCTATAATTTGTTATCTATTAGTCGTCTTGCCAAAACTTTTAATTGTGCCGTCATCTTCTTACCCACTTCTTGTGTGTTACAGAACCTGAGTTCGAAGAGGATTTTTGGGAGGGGATATGAGCGCAATGGGTTGTATTACTTCGGAGACCCACCTCCTTTGTCACCACCACCTCCTTTATCTAGTTTACAGGCATCTGTTTGGCCTATTTAAGTTTCTTGTGTTTTTTCTAGTCAAACTTTAGCCCTATGGCATGCCCGTTTCGGTCATGCAAACTTTCAATATTTATGTTTACTTTTTCCGTATTTAAATAAAGCTTGTAAGAATTCTCATTTTCATTGTGTAGTTTGTGAGTTGGCTAAACATACTAGTAATAATTATATTCCTCACATGACTCGTGCACCGTGTGCCTTTGATCTCATTCATTCTAATGTTTGGGGTCTATCTCCTGTACTTGCTTTGTCAAGCCATACATATTATGTAACTTTACTGATGGCCACACTTGATGTACATGGATTTATCTTCTTTGACATAAATCTGAGGTTTTCTCCATTTTTGTTCAATTTCTACAAATGATTAAAACCCAATTTAAGTCTGTTATCCAGAATATCCACTCTGATAATTGGGGGGGGGAGTACATCTCGGATGCTTTTCGCTCCCATCTTAATCAAGCGGGTATTCTCCAACAGCTCACTTGTCCTAGTACGCTTGAACAAAATGGGGTGGCTGAACGTAAAAATCACCATATTATGTCTGTGGTTCAGTGTCTTTTTTGTGGTATGAATGTTCCCAAGTTATACTAGTATATGGTTGTTCTTACTGCTGTCTATCTGATTAACGGCACCCTGAGTCGTGTCCTGCAAGGCCTCGCTCCTTTTCAAGTCCATAGGCCGGATAGCACTATGTTTCCTATCCTTCCACGTGTGTTTGGGTATACTTGCTTTGTTCAGAATCGTAGTCCCATCCGTACTAAGCTAGATGACAAGGCTATCCGTTGCATTTTTCTAGAGTATTCCTCTTTATCCAAAGGGTATAGGTATTATGATTTAGTGTCTGGGCATTTTTATCATTCTTTAGATGTTACTTTTTGTGAGGATTTGCCCTTTTTTGGTTTTAACATTCCTTTGCAGGTGCGTAGTGTTGTTCCTCCATCTCCCCAGTCTCCTTCTGCTCGTCTTGTTCCCATCTTTGATACAAATATCTCTGACACTTCAAATAATTACCCTACTCCTAGCCCTTCTCCATCTCTTCCATCTACCCCGCCTCTACAGGTTTACACTGAGAAAAGTGTGTTTGGGGTCTTTATAGTGGTAGACTAATAGCCCTAAAGTCAAGGGAAAGAATAAGTCAAACCTCCAAAAGTAGAGCCCCAAAACCGAACCAAAAATCTGAAAATTTTCTTAGAGGGGTCGACCCTTCAGACAGAGGTGTCGACCCTTTAGGAAGAAAAGTTGAGACACTAATGTGTGCAGAGGACAAGGGTCGACCCTTGGAACCAGTGGTGTCGACCCTTTATTTCGGAATGCACCCAGAACAAAACATGGGCAGGGTCGACCCTAAAAATCAGCAAAGACACTAAGAACAGGGCAACAAGGTGGTATTGATCCTCAAGAAGGCTAGTGTCGACACCAGAACAGATTTTCCAAGTTCCCAAAGGACTTTTTAACGTAAACAAGCGCGAACGAACAATCCCAATAAGTTTAGATCGAATCGTACACCTCCAAAACCAAGATACAACAACTCTAAGGACTTCCAAAATGAAAATAAAGGAATTAAATACACTCTCCAATAGTTTAAAGGACACAAGTGCTACAACCTCCCCATCTTAGGAAATTTCATCCTTGAAATTTGAGAAACGCCAAAACCAAAAAGGCCGCCCAATCTATAAAAGAAGCACAATGCTAACCTAAGCTTAGATCTATCTAGGGATACATCTCGGTCCAACACCTCGAGGTTCCAAAGACACCTAAACACCAAGAATGGTAAGAAAACTTCACTGATGACCCTTCGATCCACATAACTCACTGTGGTCTACGAGACAAGAAACAATAACTACCACAACAACAACGACAACATGAACTCCTCAGACTCAAAGACGTGCTCTACGCCTCAACCACTGACAATACTCAAATAACTACTGAGTGCTCCACACTCGGACAAGGAGAATACGAAAGCTACTAGCACACAAAGTTCCCAATCAACTCTCTCGTAGCACGAGAACATAAAGCAAAACATGATTAATTCTAACAACATTATGGCACCTCAATGCCCAAAAATTTCAAGCCCGTGCAAAGTAAACACATACCACATAGCTAGCAACTCAAGCTAAATCAAAACAAGTCTCCCAAATACAAGATAAAACACAACCCACTCAGGTTGAAGAAAATTTCTTATTTTTCCCATTTGTTTCAAAATCTGCTTTCCTAAAAGGTGTTCAAACCGTCACAACCCAAATACATTTTCAACCATTCACAACAAAATCCAAAGATTTCAAAACCTTCTTTCCGAAACCATAGATGTTGTTTATAACACAAAACCATTTTCATTTTGTTTTTGATTTGTTGGATTCAGCTTTTTATTAAACCAAAAACTTATATTTCCAATCAAAACCGATTTAGTTTAAAAAGACCATCCAAAGCCACAACATCAAAAAAGATTTTTGTTTTCCTCAAAATCATTCCTTTTCGTTCTTCCGGTGACTCACAACATAGTCACCTAATAAAATCCATCACACCTGTGGCGACGCCACAAAATCAACATCAATTTCCACAATAAAAAAATAAAAAAACCCTAAGAAAATTTCCAAAGTGCCAACAACACAATATCACAAGAGAAAGAAATTTCACACTTATAGATCACATAGTGACGCAAAAGCACAGCATAAGACCAACGTTCCCAATCGTAATCCCAAACCAGTTACCTTAAACTCAAAACAACTTCCCAATTGTCCATATAGGACTTACATACCACAACATGACACCGTTCAATTACACATCCCTCAATTCCAACATGTTTCCGAGGTGACTATATGTCAACCAACCCAAGTATTAACCAATCAACTATCCAACTTTATTCACTCGTACCAGTCTTCAAACACCAACATCCTGCCCAACCTCACCAACTCCTAAATGGAGTTCCATACACAACCTCTCTAGTCCAATGAATCACTCTAGACTCTTCAATGTTAACCCAAGGTACTCTGATTTTTTTTTTTTCATTCACCCCTCACACATATGCCTAAGTGGCACGCACATCCTAGCTTCACATTTGAGTCCTAACTGAACTTTTCAAGTCAAGCATAATACACCATCCCAAGTCAACGCACACACCAGTGCCTTATACCATGCACACAAGGACTGAACAAGTCGAAACAACTCTGACAGAGTGCGTCGCTCACCCTACACAATCTTACTGCCTCACTCGGACTTCCACTATCCACACTGGACGACAAACGCCACCACCAAAGTGACCCAGCACTGTCAAATATTAAACTACTCAACCCAATCATTAACTACACGATATCTTACACCCACACTAAATCCCTCATTTTGAGAATGTACTCACAACCTTGACCGAATTCACAATAATGAAATTCACATACTTGTTCCCTCGCCCCAAGTTAACTGGCAAAGGCTTACCACACCACAACACCATCGTTACTACGTAACCACTTGAACCAAGCACAAGCAAACATAACACTTCCATCCCTCAATGACCAGTAAGGTCAACTCATTAATCTGCATTCTATTCGTCACTCGTAACAAGTGTACAATCAAAATACTAAGCCTCTGAGCCAATCCACTAGCCGTTGCTACTACTGAACAACTACTCCGAACCAAGCCCTGGCACAAACACAAGACATCGACAGGTCTTTCAAAGACTTACCGTCCTAACTCTCCAGAAGAACAAATGAAGTCCTCAATCTCCTCGCCATTATCCCAAACCTTCATCCATAAACACTATACCACTGTGACCCTACACACGGTCACGCCCTAACCACGGGTTACACACCTAACCAACCCTTCCGACAACATATCCTGACTTAACCAGAATTAAGGTACATAACTATCACATTCAAACATAATAAAAGTGTCCTAAAACTTAGGAAACATCCACTATACTACTGCCCGAAACATATTAACAGCTGCTCACAACTTACCACTCACCAATGCTAACAACCACGATTTTGATAAGGGATTAACATCCCCTCAAATGAAACAACCAATCAGAAAAATATGAAGATTCAACAACATTACCTACCATGAAGGTACAAGTCTATACCTAATGAAACTATACGCTATTCCTCCTTAAAAACATCGTGTTATATGTACAAAACTTAGTGTCAATCGCACACTTCACATCCTCTCGAGGAAGTCCCACGATAGTAGACCAAAATCTCTACCACACACATAAGACCAAATAAGTCATACGCATGAAATTACGTACACCCAGCAAGTATAACTGTTCTCGCCCCATGGTAATTCTGACCAAAACACATATCCCTCAACAACTCTTTTTAATTTCTAACTATGGCTCATCAGCCATCACCTTTCCAAACCAAATCACACGCATAAATGTGCATTAATATGAAAATTTTCCGATTCTACAATAATTTATCATATTAATAAGACTTTAGAGTCATTACATACTCCAATCCATCCAATCCAGGGAAATAAGGAAACAAAGGTACATATATATGTAAGTAGTTATGATGTCTCAACATCCCCAAAACACATTGGTTACATAACAGAACCTAATGATTACAACAATAACCCACCGGTTACAAAACAGAATAGTCAAAACAACACCATCCTAGTAGTACTACCACCACCACTGTCCCTCACTGGACCGCTAAAGTCGGTTATTCTCGAGCCCAAAATACCCTAAAAGCTCACAAGCCACAGACAGGAACTACTGATGTGTCCAAATTGGCCACACCTGGAACAAATGCATAATTCCCCACTTGGGGTCTGAGAACTCGACTCTCCCGAGGCCCTCAAAATCTGGCCTGCTTGTTTTTCATAATGGTATTGTCCTCGCCCAGACGAATAAGGTTGAACCTGACTAGGTTGCAAAACTCCCAAAGAAGCCCCCGGCTGGGTGCAGAAACGTTTAAGACAGCCCGATTGATTACACCCCCAGCATGTAAGTGGTTTCCGAATACATGACTGGCTCAAAGTCTAAACTGGTGAGGATCCCAATGATTGCTTCCCCATCGAGCACTCGATCACTCCAGATCTTGGCTGACTGGATGCTCCTAGCAGTGCAATCACTGGTTGAACTACCAACCCTGTCATTTTCCTCTGAGGGTAGGCTGGAGACTTATGGCCCAACTGACCACATTTGAAACATGTAAAACCCCTCTACTTACCCTGTCCCAAACTTGAACTCAGCACTAGAAAGGTAGATCTAGATTGCTCTCTCTGAAATTGTTGTGGGTCGAAACCCCTCTGCCTCTTAAGTGGTCTACTAACACCCCGAGTCACTGGGGTTGCCAAGATGGCCTCCTCTCTACTCTGACCCATGGCTAGTACCGCTGCCTCTACATGAGCCGCAGCCTTAACAAGCACACTATAACTTCTCTGCCAAGACCCGACAATCCTTTCTCGGATATCGTCACACAACTTACTCTCAAACTCTGAACAACGAAGTTCCTCAGTCTCCACCAACTCCGGAGCAAATCTCGACAGGTTAGCAAACCATGCTTCAAACTGTACCAAAGGTGTAATACCTTGGCGCAACTCCACAAACTGTTTCCGCAATTCTTCCCGTTTGGAAGGAGGGAAATTCTCACTTCCTCGTCTAGGCATCCTAGTAAAGATAACTCAAAGATTAGTACAGTCTCTAATGTACCAAAGCCAATTCACTCAAGTCCTAGTAAAATAGAAAACACTAACTCATTCCACATAAGCACGTAATCACGTAAACACATACGAATTTCATTTCTGGATAATGACCGTCATGCGGCATTGCTATGGTTTCGGTTAGAAACAACAGTGATCAAGTGCCTTTCCAACAGGACTCCCAGAAACCCATGGACTCGATCAGCATCCTAGATATTAAATCCCATACCTACATAATCATACAAGCATGTTATCATATAAGCATACAAATGCACACTAATGCCTCAACTAAGTGAGACAAATCCATTATGGTAATAACCATCTCCCACATACCCAAAGTATTCAAACCCGATACGCTATGATACCAAGTTGAAACGCATCCAAAATTATAACACCACAAATATGATCCACAACAACATAAATAACAGCTACATAAATCAGAGTGTAAGTAGTCCTTTCATCGCATGAAATAATAATACAAAAGAGTTTAACATAAGCGAATGCCCTTCAAGCTTACATCTTTCCAAGACATTACTTGGTTACAACAAAAGAGAGCCATAAGCTCAATACATGTAAAGCCCTTGGCTTGAATAAACATTTAAACATCCAAACAACAAATAACATAATAGAGTCTCCAGCTCCTAAGTCCTCCCAAGCTACGCCCTTGGAGGGAGCATGACACTGGTACCTGAAAATAGTTTCCTAAGTAGGGTGAGCCAAAGCCCAGTAGAAATAGCCTAACACAATATATGAAGTTTAACTAAGATATAAATGTCAGGTAAACGTTCCACATTCATAACCAACTCACATTCTTTCTATATTCATTCAATACTGATATACATATCTCAATTACATTTTCATCTATTCCATTCATATTAATTCAACTAATTCTGAGCCAATTCATGAGACAAATTCATTGTTATCTAAACAATCCAAAATGAGGCTACAACTTAGTGATTCACAATATAATACAACTATTATTCAAACACTTCAATTTTTTCATTTTACAAAATTTTCATCCGAGGGAATTGTCACCCATATATGCACAAGATTTGAAGTTTTGCCATTTTGCAGAAATTTCATCCGAGGGAATCGGCACCCATATATGCACAAGATTTGAAGTTTTGACATTATACGGAATCTTCATCTGAGGGAATCGGCACCCATATATGCACAAGATTTCAGGACTTTCACCCTGGACACTCCGGCCAACTTAATTATAAATGGAGTCCGTCCCCTATCTCCTCCCAAACAATGATACATATACAATGTATTTAAAAGCATTATCATATGCAATGACTTTTCCCAACACATATTCAATGTTTAATCATACCGTCATATTCAATGACATAATTCAATTGATTACTTTCAATTCACCTAATCCTTATGCAATTTCTACAACAATCATGGTTATCCTCCACCGATAGCCCAAAACAAATATTTCTAAACAGATATATTATTTATCAATAGATAAATTATCAAATTTTTCATAGGTCAGTGATTAAACAAATCTAACTACACCATTCATTCACACAACTTCCCAATTTCATATTTCTCACACCAATTCCATTATTTATACAACCCAAAAGTCAAATTCATCTATTTTAACACAAAACCACCTCCTATCCCAACCCCATGGTCAGATATACAACAACACAAAAAAAATCCCTCTTTCATAAATTTGAACCTCAACCCTAAGTTTTCTCCAAACATCCCAAATCTCACCATATTTTTATAACAACAAATAACTAGGTTAAAATTCATAACAAAGTGTAAAATATCCCTACCTCAAGCTTAGATGAGAGAGAATAGAGAAAGCTTAAAAATCGATGGAGACTGTAGACACCCCATTGTTGACCGACCTTAAGACTCAGATGCCACCAATTGGGCGCTTGGTGATATTGCATAATGTGCTCGTTCAGAAGTCTTAGAGTCGCTTCGGATTTCTGAACCCTCTTCTGTGCCTTGCCTCGGTTTGCGAACCAGACTCGATTTTCTCTGTTTCTTTTCCTGAGGGGAGGGAGAGGTCCCGTAGACCATCTCTCAGTGGCCGTGGGCTACATTTTGGGGCTATAGGCCATTTTGTCCATTTCGGAGTCCGGTTTCCGGTTTTTCGGGACCGTTGGCCGTGTGCCTCGGTTCGGGACCGCTTAACCATCTCCGTTTGCTCTGATTTTTGGCATACTTCCTTTTTACTCCCTTTTGAGGGACACTGATCTCTGAGAGACCCACTTCGTGGTCGAACACCACTCCCGGTGCCTAACAGCCAGTTTTCGGGGCCTCGGGCTGCGCGTTTTGGCCCCCGAACCTTCATTTTGCATCGGTTTGGGCTCATTTTTGGTGGAGACCATATTTTAACTGTTAGAAAGCTTGTAGGAGGGTGGGAGGCCAGTAATTTTGCTGAAAAGCCAACTTCGTTTTGGTCAAAAGTGGTTCATCATGAATCCGGAAAGGAGAAAAATTTGCGCGGCTTCACCGAAATGGGCATAACTCTTTGCACAAGAGGAATTAAGATATGAGGCCACCACCATTGGAAAGCTTACTTTCGGGGCTTCATTTTGCACTCAAGAATCTCCCAAGTCCAAGTCCGGGGGGGAGATGTGGTTGGTTGAAGTCTGGTTGGACCGAATCTGCGCGGCTTCACGGAAAAGGGCATAACTTTTTCTACAGGAGGAATTTTAATGCAAGGTTTGCGCCATTGGAAAGCTAAGTTCCATGATCTAATTTTTTTTTTTTCCAATCAATAAAATATTAATTAAATTGTGATCTAGTTGAATTTGTATCTTTTAATAATCTAGAATTGAATCGTGATCTTTTCAAAAATTGAATCAACCCAATCTACGAAAGTTGAATTAATTCAATTTAGTAACATTTGAATTGTTTGTCCACACTTAATAGAATAAATATTGATTATAACAACAACACAACATAAACGTTTTTAAAAAAAAATACGTCATGCATATCGCATTGCGTTCGGAATAGGAGTTAGCCCGGGCGCAGGAAACGAGGTGCGTTTCGTACTCCGAGTGACGGAACGCGTCTCAATTCCCCAGTCACTGACACTCCGGATCATCCACGATGGAGTTAGGTTTTGTTGTGTTTATACGTGCATTCATTCTATATTGAATTGCACAATTCGACTCCTCGGCCAGCATGCATCAATATGCGTGATTGGTGGCACGAGGATCGAGGCATGCATACATTTGTGAAAATATATTGCCATGCCCCTTTCTTGCTCTCTGTTGCAGCAAAATGAAGAATGAGCGACCTTTTGGAGCTTGGCATGCATTTCAAGAAAAGGTGTAAACAGAGGCTAATTGGGGCATCGTCATGGATTTCCGCGCAAAGGCAACCCGGGCATGCATCATTCATCAATCCGGAGCGGAGTCAAGGCAGTCACTGGCTTGCATGCCAGTTTACAGTTTTCTTAGTTAATTTGTTAATTAATTAGGAATTTGTACAATATTTGGACTGTAATATTCTTTTACTCGGGACTGTATATTTATTCGGACCCTCTGCGCGAGGGCAATGTTGTAATAAGTGTGCGTGAGTGTGATGTATGTCTTCCAACCCCACGTCTTTCTTCCCTTTTATTTATCTGCTTATGATGGTTAGATTAGGGCATGTTTAAATTAGCATACAGTATGACAGCATGTTTGCATCATTCATCTGTTTTGCATGCACCGGGCTCGGCGCACCATACTAACTGCATTGTACTTTCAATTCCAAATTGAATACATGTTAGTTGTAGTATTTCATATGCCATGTTTAGAATAGTCGAGCCTGCTATAGTTTGCATTTTTGCATGTGTTGCATTAGGCATTTCTGTATATTTAGGATCATGCATGGTTTCTAATAAACTTCTTGTTTTGGCTTAGAGTACTCAGTGAGTTTTATGCTTTAGCATCCTTGCATGCGTCTGAGTGACTGCCATAACTAGCATGCTTACCATGAGGCTATTTGCTTTTTGCTTATGTGATATAACTGCCTGAATGCCTGTGGGTGAAGGTTGTGTTACTTAAATTGGAATAAATCATCAAATGTTTTAGGCCCACTAGATAGTGGCAAAAACATCTTTTCCTAAGCCCACATGAGGGTGGCAAAATCTGTATTTTAAGCCTACTTGCGAGTAGCAAACCATCTTTCAAAAACAAAAACGAAATGTTTTGCTCCAATTCAATCGACTCAGTCTATACTTGTATGCTGTGCGCATCACATAGTAACCTAGGCTAATAACCGGAATAAGAACGCACAATGTTTTCAAAAATAGATATCATGGAAAACGTTGTAAAAAGAAGCTATGATGGAATGAAAACGGCTTTTCATTCAAAGAGTGTTGTAATTATATTTTGAGCATCACATCGCACCCTATTGCACAAAAATGAAATTTGAATGAAAATAGAACAACATGTATTGCCAAGTCAGGTAGTGAACAGACACAACAAACTAAACAACTCAACTCAAAAACAATTCATTAAATGAATTAATAACTCGATAAACATATAAGTAACAACTCGATAAACAAATGAACAACAACTCGATAAACAAAATGAGCAATAACTCGATAAATAAATGAGAAACAACTCGATAAATAAATGAGCAACAACTCGATAAACAAAGCGACGAAATGCATCCGAAACAAAGGTAAATTCGAACCTTTAGCACTCCCAGCGCATGGGGAAGTTAGAGACTCACTCCTGGAGGTAAGAAACAGGTGTAAACCACTTTCATGCTCATGGTCGGGCATCAAAGAAGCCTGTCGACCAGTTTTTCTGTCTACAGCCCAAAAAAAGTAGTTGGCCGACCAGAAAAAGTGGTCGGCCGACCACTTGACCTGGGAACCTCCAGTTTTCTAACACTTGTCCTCCAAATAGTGTTTTATCCTTTATAAAGGTTCTAGCTTTGTGGTTCCCTCATTCCAACTCAATTTTGTACCAAAATAGAGGCGTTTCTCATCCAAAATCTCAC